TAAATACCATGCTCTTCTTAATTTTCATGTTGTCTACAAATACTTTAGAGCAGTATTTCCCAAATCTTGTAGAAAAGTTCCCACAGTAATAAAGTCAGGTGTGCTTGCATATCCCTACTTCAGCAACTGGAATCGATTTCCCTGTGCCGGTGGGAGAAGCAGTGGCTGAAGTAAGCAGATCCTGTCAATTTGCTGCTGTTATTCATGTGTGTCCTGGTCACCCTCCCCTTGCCTCCGGCCTGGTAGATGCTCAACAGTTTGGGAAACACCACTTTAAAATAACAGACTGCATAATGGTTAAGTGATTAAAGAAAAAACGTTCTTCAGTTATTTTGTTTTGATTACACTTTGAAACAGTGACCAAGCTACTTGTGTGACTGTCCTCCATAGATCCAATCACCACATGGCAAATGTTCATTAACACATTACTGCTTCTTGCATGGGTTCTCCTACTAGTGGTTATGACATTTTCAGTTCTTCATGGCAGACAAGCTGTTACTGTGCTCACTGGAAGCAGTCTCTTCTCAGGTCTTACCTTTGATGAACGGGATGTCATTGAAGGGGCTTTTCGCCAGGGACTGATTCGAGTCCTGGCAGCAACTTCTACACTTTCTTCTGGGGTGAATTTGCCTGCGCGCCGGGTAATTATCCGAACTCCTGTGTTTGGTGGCAAACTCTTGGACATTCTGGCTTACAAGCAGATGGCTGGGAGGGCTGGCAGAAAAGGAGCAGACACAGTGGGTAAGTGGAGGCTTTATTAACATTCTCTAAGAACTGTGTTAACCTAATTACATCCAGGGCAGTGCTTTACAATTAGTGACTAATCATGATGAATTCCTTTGGTATTCAGTATGATAAAGTTAATCAAGATGAATTCGTTTAGTATTAATGGGGATATAATTTGTAATTCCCAGAGGATGCTTTTACACTGCATGAGACTGATTTTGGTGTCTGTATGTCAGTTACTGGAAGAACAGTCTGTTTTCTTCATTGAATTCCTTATTGCTTCTAATAATTTGTTCATTTGATTTAATTCTGTGGGGCATGGCCAGCCTGGCAGGGCATTAACAATCTCTGATGTGAGTGAAAGTTCTGTTGTAAGTTTCCATTGAATGGATTTTAACCTTCAAGCAATGAAGTTTAAAGTTTTAGATCCAAAATTTGGCAAAATTCTACCTTCCACCTGGACAGAACTTGGCTATAAAATATCCTTACCAAAGTTAATGCTTTGTTTTAAGAATCCTAAGAATAAAATGTTTCTGTGCTTCTCCCAGTCTCCATCAAGACTTTTTATTTGTATTCCAGAAAAAAGCCAAAACCAAAAACAAAAAAACCCCAGTGTTTCAAGAGCTGCATATATATTGAATAAAACACATTTATCATCAGTTGATGTTCAACAAAACTATTGATTTCAGCTTTGCTTGGAACAAAAGTTGATAATAGGGGTAGGACTTTTCCTAATAAACAAAGGGAAATGTAAAGATCAACGTAGTTATAGAACAGGACTTTGATGCTGGAGGCCTTCCAGCGCTTTGTCCATTCTAGTTCTAGACATCTCAAATGACTGAAATCAGTTGGTTCCTTGATTTAAAAAGAGTATATTTTCATCAACTAGGCCTGCTTGTTTTATTTGTTCAACAGCTATTTGGAGTAGCCGACTTTTAGTATTCAGTGGTTTTCCAGGTATGGAATGTTTGTCCCTCTTTATTTGTCTTCGATATCCCCTTTTTTCTTCTCCTATTCATATTATCTCATACATGTATTAGTATTTATTATTGTTCCGTGGCTTTTGGATCTTTGTATACATTCTTTTGCTGTACTTGGAAGATGCATCAATATTTGGAAATACTCTTTACAAAGGTTATTAAGTGAGAGTTGATATACTGATGTCTTATAAATTTTATATGCTTCCTACTGCAAAGACAACTTAGTTGCAAAACACATGGTTACATAGGTTGATCTCTTGTGGTCTCTGTTTTGATAGTTTTATATATTGTTATTACCTTTGGGAAATATTATTGTTAAACTGGTGATATTAGAGTAAGGCATCAGTTAAACTTTGTGGAGTTTTATCATAGGAGCTGCCCAGTCTCTGTCGTTTCACTCTGTGAGTAAGAATTATTTCTATCCTGAGAGCAGAAGAGAGGAAAAATGGATTTTTCTGTGTAGTATGGAACTGATTAATTCCAGCGCAAGAAACAGCATTTTATCACCCTCTTCTGAGTCTTTGCTAGAATCGATGCTAAGGAGTGCAACAAGTGATGATCAGATCCCTGTTTAACACTATGCATCTGTGGAGTCTTCCACAGCAAAGGATAGACATTGCTAAGAATTACACAAATATAACATTTCTGTACCTTTGGGACCACCAACTTCCCAAGTGCTCTCAGGGCATCTCTTTTGTACTGTGCCTTCAGTGAACTATGTGTAGTTATTATAGCGCTAATGTCTCAAGGATCTAGAAGGAACATTGCCTGCAGTATATTGAAATTTCTTACTCATGCTCAGAGCACGTTCAGATTTATGTCCACTGCATGGAGAAGTTATACTTGAAACCATGTCATCTCTGAAAATGTCTTCAGTTTCTTGAGCATCTTGTCTTTATTTTCTCATAGGTGAGAGCATTCTAGTGTGCAAGCCCTCAGAGAGGTCTAAAGGCATTGCTCTGCTGCAGGGATCCCTCAAGCCTGTCCGCAGCTGCTTGCTCAGAAGAGAGGGAGAAGGAATTACTTCTAGCATGATACGAGCAATCCTTGAGGTATGGGGCACCTGGGAAGGAAATCAGATCTTTGCTTAGAGTATTAGTCCATGTGAGGCCAGGGTGCAGGCGCACAAAACAGTTACTGCATAGTGGAAGTGAAGCAGACAGATACACAACAAATCCAGACTAAATGTCTCTCTTGAGAAATATGCAGTAACCTTGCTATATAGGAAGATTACTACCTGAAACACACAATTTATCTACTCCCCTAGTTGATTTCAACCCCAGAGTAGCTGTTTGCCAAGTGCTAACCAGTTCTCTTTCTGACTGCATGTATCCAGTAAGAGAGCTGCTCATGTGTCTCCATGAGTCAAATGTGGGTAAATTATTCCACAGCAGTTATGTTGTGTGCCTTTTATCCTTAGGATGAATAGTTATACGTAACTGTTAAAAATGCTTTAGGCAAAGGGTTTCTTAGGGTGAGATAACTTTTATTAGATTGACTGTGTAGTAGAGTTAATCAAGTTTTTGAATGCAACACATGACATTCTTAATCAGGTCTAACCAGAAGTGGCTCTTCTATTCAGACCTGACAAAGAATGTTTTGCATTGACAGTGCCCTCTTCTCTGTTTTTTACCTGTGGTAGGTTGCAGGGTGTTTTTAGTGTTCTGGGCACTGTTCCCTTTAATTAAAGTGCTGACTTCGGGGATTTCTTTGGTTAGCAATTGCCTGTGAATGCAAGGGACTGCACTTAATAGCCCAGGAGGCCCTTTCCAGTTCTATATTAAATATGCTTAGGTTATAGGCAGAGGAGAACCCTTAACCTGAGTGTGGAAACAGACATCACCAGATGTCTCATTTGTGCTACCATAATTTTTTTTTTTTTTGTGGCAGCACAAATGAAACGAAAGTCAGTGGTACAACAAAAGGGGGAATAGTTTTATTTATGACTCTCCCCATCCCTTCAGCTATATTAAGTATGGAGTATGCCTTCATACTCCATACATAATATAGCTAGAGGGATGAAGAGACTTAAGTATAAAAATATTCTCTGCTGATATCAAGGGTTTTTAATTCCAAAAGATCTATGCCACCCAAACAGACACACATTATGGCAAGAGATTGTTAAAATCAGTCCATTTAATTAAGAATCCCTATGATCTGTTCCCTTCTTGACACCAGTAAAAATACAAAATCTAGACGAAGCTCCAAATACCATCGTGACTTTTTCAAGTAGTTTTGAGTAATGCAGGCAAGAAAAGAACTGGATTAGGAAAACGTTTGAAGTACAGTTCTAGCCTGAAATGTAACTTTTTAAAAAGGAACAGATCTGCTCCATAGATGTTAGTCAGGTCTACTTACACAAGTAGGAAAACAATGTTTTCAAGCTTTTAACTTAAGACAGACTTGCAGAATGATTACAAGTGAAAAGGAGCAAGTGGTGGCTTTGTATACCAAAACAATTATTTACTACATTTGAAAAGAGTTGTGTAACTTGAAGAAAAGGTTCTACAGGTGTAACTTCAGCCCTAATTTAAAGAACCTTTAGTACTGGGGTGCACCATTAAAGATTTTTTTTTTTTTTTGGCCGATACTGATGGCCGATTATTAACCAGCCATATCGGCTGATACTGATCTGATAGCAGATATGCAGCCCAACAGCTTGAAAAGCAGTATCTGGCCGGTAAGTCTTTTTGGGGGGAACAAGTATGGGGTGGTGCAGATTGAGGTTTCCACAGTGAGGGAGGGTGTGGGGCAGGGGCAGGAGCTGTTCAGCTGGGGCTGGGCATGGGGTGGAGCCATGGGCAGCTCCTGCAGGGCGGGGTGGGGGGGAACAGCTGCATGCACCCCTGGGGGAGGCATGAGAGGCAAGTGCCCGCTGGATTTGTGTGGGGGGTGAGGGTGGGATGCCTGCTCACTTCCATGTTCTCAGGGAGAGCAGAATCTAACAGTAATGGGGGAAGGGGCTGCCAGAGGGAAAAAGTTGTGGGGGTGGGGTAGAGGGCGGTGGGGCCACTTGACCCATCCCAGATTTATTATCCCTGCTGTAGTAGTGGGAGGAACATGCATTCAAGGCCTCCAATAATTAGATTTTATACCTGGAGAATTATTTAAAAAAAAAAAAATTAAAATAAATTTTCTATATAGAATCTAATGATGGGGGGGTCATCTGATATTTGAGTAAATGCAGGAATCACATAATTTTAAAGTAAAAATCTTAAATAACACCCTTTATAAATGAAGATAGCAGTTATATATTTACAAGAGTAAAACTTCACCAGGATGAGTAGCCATGGGCAGGATTCTGCTCCTTGTTTTATTTTACGTCCAAAAATTAATGAATCACATTCTGCCTTAGCTTTGCCACTGCTGTGCAATGAAACTATGAGCTAGGGTCAAGCTCCTTACACTGCAGTGAGACTGCATGCATGTGTGTTACATCTGCCAAAGCATGGCAGTATTCTTCAAATCTATTCACAAGCTGTCTCTTTTCCTGTAGGGAGCAATGTGATCCTTTTAGTTCATCTATTCTCTTTGCAAGATAACTGTGAAAACAGATTCTGTTTCTCTCTTTTATGGAGTTAGTAGTTTGCACTTGCTTTTGCCATATGTTCCTCTCAGACACTCAACTCTGTACTCTGGTTTTCTAAATTCATTAATTTCCCTTAAGTTCATTTTCGGAGATATCTTCCTTTCTTTATGAGCATGAAACCTTCCTTAACAGATCATCGTGGGTGGAGTGGCCAGCACTCCAGATGATGTCTGGACCTACGCTTCCTGTACGCTTCTTGTTGCCAGTTTGAAAGATAACGAGCAGGGGAGTGAGAAAAATGAGGACCGAGTTCAGAATGGAGCTATCGAGGCTTGTGTGGCATGGCTGCTGCAGAATGAATTCATCCAGGTTTCAGGCCCTAGCGATGGAGTGAAAGGTAAAGCTGGTTGCTCCTGTGCATTATAAGTCCGCACTTCCTTCCCTTGGACTGCAACTTAGGCAGTTTTGAATGAACAATTTTTTTGCAACTGCATAGGAATAAATTTATAATGGAGACTTTGGGCTTGGGCCGAAAGAGACTTAAGATGCATGTTTTGCTTGGTGTCTGTTTAAGATGTTGTGAATTCAACTTTTTCATTAATTTAGTTTTGGGTGTGTGTTCTGAGAGGGAGGCAGTGGCCATTTCATTAGGACTCATGGCATCTGGCATGCGAGCCCCAGAGCTGTTACAAAGGATTGTAGCTTTATAATGTGGGTGTTCAGCCCCTGGACCCATGGAGCCATGCCATTTGACCTGCACAGGTCCCCAGGGGTCTGAAAATTTAGCTGCAGGGGCGCATTAGTAGCAATTACCACTCCCGTGTGCCAAATTTATGGACCCGTTGGGAGCCCTGTGGGCTGGATAGCTCTCTGGATCTGCATGTGAAGGTGGCCTGGGGCCCAATCTGGGCATGCAGATCCACATCTGGGTGATATGGGCCTTGATCCTGTAGCTTGGGGGAGGCAGCACAGCGCGCAGTTCTGGCTCGTGGGGCCTGATCCGGTCCACAGACCAGCCCCAAGCCACTGGTCTGGCCCACATGAGCAAAAGGTTGAACACTACTGCCTTATAGTATTTGTGTATGTGGGCTGTGGATTTGGCGCATTATTTCTTCTCTTGCCCCCCCAAAAACGTTGTCTTGCGGCATTTCTTTTGTTCTTCCCCAATTGCATGTTTAGTTTGAGATATTTCCCTATTTAGAATAATTAAATTTAGCTAAAACTATTTTACTTAGCATGCGAAAAAGGAGCCCTGTCCTGTTGGTGTCTGGGAACCGGCACAGTGGATCCTGGGAAATGTCCTGTTTTTAAAAGCTGTACTTGGCATAACATGAAAATTTCTACCTTGCATCAGTCTGTATGAAGCATTACCTATGGAGTGTTTGATAAGTTCACCTGTCATCCTTTAAAAAAATACAGCCTTAGAGATTTCATATTTGCAAAACAGGAACATTTTTTTCTAGATAATGACATTTACTAAATATATCACTCCTGTAGATCCATGCTAAGCCCTCTACCTCTTCTTATACTTCTTAACATGACATTAACTAGAGAAGGTGGAGAGAACAGATAGAGGGCCGCTTCTTCCAACATGGTTGTTTGCAAATGCATATGCGCTTCTTACTAGTTATGTTGTTTTCTTTAAAAGATTTGGGGCTTGACAAACAAAGGGATGAGGTTTCCGATATAGTTGGAAAACCCCAGTTACTGGTCATTTCTAAATCTATTGATGCAACATAACAAAAAGAACAAGGATTGCAGAGGGGAATGGGTCTTGCTGGATGAGAAGGAGCCCTGCTTTCTCTGCTCAGTCAAACCCATACCAGTATTTGCTGGGGATGAGTCTGCCTGAGTGAGGAAACGAGAGAGATCATGTTGCCCCTTGTGCTGCACTGTTGAGGGTGGGACAAGGGGCAACATGCATTTCGCTCAGTGAAGCAGATCACAGCTAATTTGCTTCATTCAGTGATGTCTATTTCTAGCCTTGCTGACTAGCCCTGGGCATGACTGCCTCCATTTCTCCATCTGTTAGACCAGGGATGCTCAACCTCCAGCCTGTGGGCTAACTCTGATCCATGGGACTCCTGCTGTGTCAGGAAATTTGGTGGCAGGGGAGCAGTGGCAATTAATATTGCCAACCTCCCCCTCTGTCAAATTCCTAAACCCTAATGTGGGCCTAATCCAGGCTGTGCCCCCCTCCCTCCCCTCATAGCCAGATTGGGGCTGGGCCATGTTCCCTTCCATGTGTGCGGCTGGGTTGGGGCCAGGCCATGACCTCTCCTGTGTGACTGGATCAGGGCTGGGCTGCCCCACCTCTTGCCACTACTCTGCATGGGGCCCCACTGCACCTGCCCCAGGCAGTGGATCAGGAGCACCAACCAGATCTGATATGGACAGACCAGGCACTGCTCATCTAGCCCACTGGGCAAAAAAGGTTGAGCACCACTGTATTCAGACCCCTCAAAGTGCAGTGAAGCTTGGGTAGTATTAAGTACTATGTAAATTGAAAGTGAAGTATATATTTACCTTTAAATAAAATACTTGTGTCTATTACAGCAGAGGTCTATTGCCCAACGCATCTTGGCTCTGCTACTCTTTCCTCTTCTCTTTCACCAATGGAAGCCCTGGAAATTTTTGCTGACCTCCAGAGAGCTATGAAGGGGTTTGTCCTGGAGAATGACCTGCATATAGTCTATTTGGTAGGTTCCTTGCTTCTCACAGCAGGTGACATTGGAGCAGGTGGAGGAGAATAGAGAATACACAGACCAGAGCCTCTTGTGGATCCAGGGTCTCTTGTGTTGTATATTCTGTTCAGCTGATCCCTTGGGGAGGAGGGTGTGGAATGCTTTGGAAGAAGTATTCAGTTTAGAACTTGTTTGACTTTTATAATCCTAATTAGGAAACACCTGCCTTTCTGAAGTTAAGACTAAACATGTGTCCATTTAAGCCTAATTTTGTCTCATATTCACAAACAAAAATGTTTCAAAACTAAATATTTAGGTCTAGGGTGGAGTGAGGATTTTCTCATGATGCCTTGACATGAATTGATTTTTAATCATGGTTTGGACTCATTAGTCACTTCAGTGGGTGTTTGATGAAGAATATACTCTTGCTGGACCATATCATCTACTTAAAGCTAAAGGAGCCTTGTCTGTGGCTCAAACCTGTCTGAGTTTTTGGAAGCAAGCTGATCCCTGAGAAGCCTGTTTAGTCCATTTGGGTCTGAGTATCTGCTACAGCCAGGAGAGGGGAGACTACAGCAAGGGGGGGAAATTATTTTGGGCGGAGGGCCACTTACGCAGTTTTGGCATGCTGTGGAGGGCTGTGTGGATGGCCCTGCCCCTTGACAGGTGCCCCGCCCCCTGGTCACCATCTAGGGACCAATATCCCAGGGCCAGCACCGGTGGGGCCCAGAATGGAGCGCAGGCTGGCAGAGGTCTGTGGAGCCAGGCTGGGCTGCATCAGCAGGGAGAGGGGGAGCTGGACTGGCTCCATAGAGCCCCTGCTGGCTGGGACGCTGCGGTCGTGCCACCCTACTCTGGGCCCTGCCGGCACTGGCCCCGGGGAGCTGGGGCAGGCCCTGTGCTTCTGCTGGCTCCCTACCCACTCACTCGAAGTGCCCCTCAGCCCTGATCCCCTGCACACCGGTGGGGAAGAAGCTGGTGCTGAGAGTGGGGAAAAGCAGCCCCTTGCCCACCCCATGGCTGGTGATCCCTGCTGCAGCCGCTTGCAGCCCACGCAGGGCTGTCTGGAGCAAGCACAGGCAGCCTCACATGGGGTGCAAGTGGCTGCAGTGCAGGGCACTGGCCACACGGCAAGTGGGGCTGCTTTCTTCTGCGCTCAGCAACAGCTTGTAACACGACCCCACTGCCAACCTGGCAGTGGGGCCACGTTACAAGATGGTGCTGAGCATGGGGTGTGGGGAAGCAGCCCCTTGCCTGCCCCATGCCCAGTGCCCCACACTGCAGCTGCTTGTAGCTGGCCTGGGGCTGCCTGTACCTGCTCTGGACAGCCCCGCGTGGGCTGTGAGTGCCTACAGCACGGAGCACTGGCCATGGAGCTGGTGGGGGGCCGTTTTTCTCTGCGCAGGAAAGGAGCCCAGGGAAAAATGGCCCCTCCCCTACCCAGTGGCCAGTGCTTCCTGCTGCAGCTGCTTGCAGCCCACTTAGGGCTGTCCGGAGCAGGCACAGGCAGCCCCACACAGGCTGTGAGTAGCTGCAGCACAGGGTGCTGGCCACCAGACAGGGAAGAGGCCGCTTCCCCCCACCCCGCTCTCCTTCCCTGCCCA